AGAGAGAGAGAGAGAGAGAGAGAGAGAGAGAGAGAGAGAGAGAGAGACAGAGAGAGAGAGTAACCAACCAGAGTAAAACACATCATGGCGAGATGTAAAGAAGCCTATCTGGAGCACTGGAGAGAGGAAACTGGGGGCCAAAGCAGACTGGAATCTTATCTGGCCCTAGAGAGAGACTATGAATTGGCAGAGTATCTCTCTACAGTCAGAGACATGAAGCAGAGACAGAACTTCACCAAGTACAGGCTCAGTGACCACAAACTGGAGATTGAAACAGGACGACACAAAAAGTCATGGCAACCAAGAGAGAACAGAACATGTGGTCACTGTGGGACCGGTGAGGCTGAGACGGAGATGCACTTCCTCCTAAAATGCAAAACATTCCATAAAATTAGGAACATCTACCTAAACAAATTTGACTCTGTGATTTCAGATTTAAAAAAATGGAGTGATATCTCAAAATTAAAAGTCCTCCTAGGAGAAGGAGAGAGGGCAGACCTTGCTGCCCAGTATGTACTAGCATGCCACAACCTGAGGGACAGTAGGTGACGCTTTGGCGATGCCGTTCCTGGGCGTTCATGCCAATGGAGCAGATCTGAGTTTGGGTTGAATTGGGAGAGAGACGGAGAGAGAGAGAGATCTATCTATCCATGGATCTCTCTCTCACTTCGCTCCTCCCTTTGCTTCGGTGTCAGAGAGCTGCGGTGGCCTACAGGTAACGTGGGAGCAATGGGGGCTCTGTCTCACACCACTTTTGAGATGTTGTATTAATATTATTGTTATATTGATATTGTTGTGTATTGATGTTATTGTATGTTTAATTTGTTGATGCTTTGGCAATACTGTTTTTAAACTTTCATGCCAATAAAGCAAATTTTGAATTGAATTTTGAATTTGAGAGAGAGAGATATGAGGGTAATGGTGCAATTATGTTTTTAGCATCTCTGAATCACCGTATCTGCCGGCATGTAGGTGAAGGTGAGGGAGCAGTTTTTACAACTCTGAGCTTTCCCTCGCGGCCTCTATGTGTGTGTGTGTGTGTGTGTGTCTTTGTCTGTGTGCGCGCTGTGAGAGGCAGTGCTCTTTCTCCGGATTCTGGAGAAGGCTAAAATTCCTCTAAAAGGCTGAGGTATACACCGGGTGACTTGGCTTCATTAGTTGAAGGGCAGTAAGCGTGCGGGCCCTTCTGTCTGCCACATATGGAGACCATGTAGGCAGTCATCAGTGAGGGATTCTGTCAGTTGGGCTCCCACTGGATAGTGCATATGCTCCATCACTGGCCATGCCAATTAGGCCAGTGGGCTTGTCCTCCTGTAAATACTTCGATGGGGCAGCAGACACGGCCGATGGACAGACACAGTTTGGAGACGTGCAGAGAGCATGGAGGCATCAAGAGGATGTGGCTGTATGTTAGTTTGAGAATAGATCAACAGATGCTTCAAAATACTGCAGTTACAAGCCTCATGTAGTTACAGTTTGTAAAAGATTGTACTGCACTGCTGTCCTGATCGTACAGTGAGAGTTACAATGTGAGTGTGTGTTTTTATGGAGGCTGCGCTGACCAAATGAGAGAAGATGGCATCATAGATGCATATGCCCCAAACAACAACCAGAATGATGTCAGCAGTGTCTGCCATGAGTCAAAGACATCTGACTTGGAAGAGCAGCTTCAGGATCACCAGTCAGCCCTCTGCCTGCTACACTCAAGATAACAAGAGAAACAAACAGCAAGGACATTTGTTAAGTTTCTGAGGAAAAAGTTAAAGCTGCAATCTGTAGCTTTCTCCACATCCCTACTGCAGCAACCGTGTCAGAGCAGCTCGTGTTGCATGCATACAGTTGGTTCACCTCATTGTTGTTGGTGTGGTGAAATGAACCGATGTACATACACGGACAGACGGTCATGACTGTCCTCTGCACCAGAGGCATATAAAAGCCCATCATTGGTACAAAGTTACCTGCAGCATTACTGGCTCACTGTGCGCTGCAGCAGCTTTGAAGTGTCTGTTGTGGAAAAGGCCAAAGCACTCATGCTTATCTTATGAGTATGAGGATTCAGGTTATTGCTATTAATAATGAAACAATATCATTTTTAGATTATATGCGTTTGCCAGAGACCATCACTCAACAAGGTGATTTATGCTCCGTTGGTCTGGAAGCTAATTTATGGATATGATCACTTCGATTAAAATACAGCATTCCACTATGTAATACGTAACATATTTTATTAATATTATAACTTAAAATCAACTTGCTACACAATACATTTTTTTTCAGATTGCTGTGGAAGAGTCTCACATTTTCACACATCTCCAGAGTCAGTCCACTCCATAGTAGCAACATATCTCAATTTTCTTCAAGGTTGTTTGTGAACAGCTAACCTAATAGGTGCACACATTCCTCTTTACAACTCTATGCACCTTTACAGACGGTTACTGTATTATTTATTCCCGTTTCAACTGTTTCTGTGCGTCTCAAACACAACTACGAGTGTGGGCTTGTTTTCCGTTTGGGACTAAAAGAAATGTTTGAAACAATACAAAAATGTATATATACACAATTATTAAGAACACACTTGGTGTTGTCCTTGTTTCCATCATTATCGGATTCATCCTTTGATAAAAAACCCACAATTCTGATCAATCGATGAGCTTCTGTGTTGCACATGATTTGGAAGGATAAAGAGTTCACAGTTCAAAGACAAAAACCTTGGATGCATCTCAGGTTGTTGTTTAGCAGCTTTCCAAGTGCAGAAAGAAAAAGTGCAGCGATATTAGTCATGCGAAGGGAAGCCTCTGCTCCGGGTGGGGATCAGTAACAACTGTGTCTGTGCAAAGCTTTAGGTGTTTAAAATATCTCCCCATTATTTCTTTTTAATCAAAAGTATGCCTTTGCTGCTAGCAAACACTGTTATCTCCTATACTGCTTGATAATTGTCCTTGGATGGAGGAGAGAAAATATCATCATGCCCGAACATGCATATACAAACAACGATTACCATTTCCTGGGGCATAGGAAGGCAGAATAAACAAATGTGAAATGCAGAATATTAGCACACATTCTGAGGCTCCCAGAA